TTTGTGTAGAAAAATGTTAATAAACACCTGTATTTTCTGGATGATGGCTTTCGTTGTTCTCCAGGTTTCCGCCCCATACAGTAGAACTGTCTTGACATTTGTATTGAAAATCCTGACCTCGGTGTTGGTTGACAGTTGCTTTGAGTTCCAGATGTTCCTAAGTTGTAAATATGCTGCTCTTGCTTTACCGATCCGCGCTTTCACATCTGCATCAGACCTACCATATTCATCAATGATGTTGCCCAGATATGCAAAGGCTTTTACATCTTCCAAATCTTCCCCATCAATTGTGATTGGATTGGTGCATGTTGCGTTTTATCGGGAAATCTTGATTTTCCCTATGTGTATACTGAGATCTACTGCTACTGAGGTTGCTGCTACACTGATCGTTTTCTCCTGCATTGGTTGTTGCGTTTGGGATAGAAGGGCCAGATCATCTGCGAAGTCTAGATCATCCAATTGCATCCAAGATGTCCACTGTATTCCATGCTTTCCTTCAGATGTTGACGTCTTCATGATCCGGTCGATCACCAGAAGAAAGAGAAAGGGTGAGAGTGAACAACCTTACCTCACACCGATCTACACTTCGAACGAGTTTGTCAAATGTCGTCCATGCATGAGTTTGCAGTTTAAAACATCATAAACATTCTATGCGATAATGAATATCTCCTGAGACACGTGCTTGTTTACTTCTGTGTATTTAGCTTGTGTCTTGGCTTTTTCGCTCTTGTTCGGCTGGCATTGATTGCTACTTTCTTGTTCCTTCTTTCTTGAATCTTATCCAGTGTATCAACAGTGATGCATTTCTTATGATAATGCTTCTTGTGGCCTAGAACCTCATGACATTTTGAAGTGATTGTTTCTTTGATCTCCTTACAGTTGCTCTCCATAGTAGTTCTTTCTCCATTGAGTAGATCATGAAAGGCCTGGAGTTTATTACTGAGGCCTATCTTGAATTTGTTCAGTTTGTCAGTATCCTGAAGAAAGGCCGTATTGAACTTTTGCGATATTGTCCGCCTCACTGTCCAGTACTTCTTGAGTTTCAATTTCATCTTGGCGATTAGCAAGTGATGATCTGAGGCTGTATCAGCTCCTCTCTTAGTTCTCACGTCTTCCATCGTCCCTCTGAACGTTTTGTTGATGCAGATATGGTCGATTTGGTTCTGTGTAGTGTGATTCGGTGAAGTCCATGTGATTTTGTGGATGCGCTTACGTGGGAATATAGTTCAGCTTATGAACAGTTTATTGAATGCACATAGGCTTGCGAATCTCTCACCATTTTCGTTCCTTTCTCCCAGTCCGTGTCGTTCCATGATGTCTTCATATCCAATGTTGTCCGTTCCAACCTTCGCATTGAAATCTCCCATCAGAATGGTCAGGTTCTCTGTTGGGCACTTCTCGACGATTGACTGCAGCCTATCGTAGAATTGATCTTTAGCGTCTTCATTTTAGTCGTTGGTAGTCGCATAGCATTGAATGATGTTCATTGAAGTGCCCTCTGTCTTTGTTTTGATGGAGGCTTTGATGATCCTTGGTCCATGTGATTCTCATCCTATGAGTGCTTTTTGTGTTTGTTTGGACTGCATCAATGCAACTCCTTGTGTATGTGGGGCATTTTCTTCTTCATGGCCGGAGTATGACAGAAGCTTTCCTGAAGCTAGTCGTTGTTGTCCAACTTGCGTCCAACGTGTTTTATGATCCTAAGCAACTCTAGGTTGTATCTCCTCATTTTTGCAGCAATTCGGAAGGCTCTCCTGGTATTTCACATTGTACGAACATTCTGTGTACCTGAATAAATGGTTTCTCTGGTTGTCAGAAGGGGCATCGGCCTCATAACTTTCGAAGGAACTCGGCTTTCATCATGAGGCGTCATAGTTCTTCTAAATGAAGACCGTCTGACTCCCAGGGCAGAGTTTAAAAGGTTTGAATAATTTTTTTTCTGATAAGCTTTTCTTAGCGAGTTATTTTTTACGGAATAGGGTCGCTAACCCTATGTCCAATCCTCCTTCTTTACCCGAGCTTGGTACGGTAGTAGCCCCGGAGGGACTGCAGGGTTAGGTAGCATAATTGAAAGTGAATTAACGGTCTGGCAGTAACTGATGTTTCTGTTCTGATTTCAATCATAATACTGATATCATGTAATGAAACTATACAACCATCAAATAATCAATTCAGTACACCTTGCTGAGCCCAATGACAGCATTGTGTGGACATGTTGGAATGTAAACAGTTACTGGGATCCAATAAATTCGCTTGTCGAAATTCGTCGTTCATACTTGACCTTCTGAATGGTTTCACTCAATTCAAACATGCTGTCTTGAAATGTGGATGAATTTGAGAGTGTACAGAATATTGCACCATGAATCGTGATAGCAATTTTCCTGTGAATGGATTTGTCACTTATTTAAGAAATCATCGTCATATCATTGAGTTGTAGTTACATGTTTTTTTTTTATTTCTCTTCGTTTTTCTTTGGTAACCTGAAATACAATCAATCGATTCTTTTCATAGAAATATGTGCAAAACACAACTCGACTGGAGCATGTCAAAACGCATCAACATCGAATGTGACATGCATTTGGTGTGAAAATGCTAACACATGCATCGAAAGTAATGATCAAAATACTCATAGCTTGAAAATAAATGATTGCCGTAATAAGGTTAGTACTTGATAAACTTTACATGTCGTTTTCACTATCATCACATCCTACAGCCCGAGTAAACAGATTTATTTGGAAGGACATTTTAGTGCAACAAACTAAAACTGACTCATATTCTTCTTTCAGTGACTAAATCAGTGCTCTTCATACGTCGATGATATCTAATGCGATTAGAATACGATGCTTTCTTACCATGAAAATGGTAATCAATGGGTCCAATCGTTGTTTAACACTAGAGCTCAAGAACGTAATAGTAACTTTTCATCTCATTGAATTTGTGATCATTTCATAATGCCAATATGGAATCATATATCAATGTGATGGTTATAATATACCGACCAAACCATTTCATTGAGGAAGCGTCATCTGTTGAAAGTTGTGTAATATATTTTAATAATTGGTGAGAATTTGTAGTCTCTTACTGCTGAAGTGGAGAACACATATTTCTGATTCTCTGCTGAGAAATATATATCCTGGTGGGATAGGTGGAATAAAGCAATTATAAATTCATGATTCATTTTTAGATTGTGATTAGATGTGACCATCGGAACACAAATCTCATCACACAAATGTGTCATTGGTTATAGGATAGTATGTACTTGTAACATCGATTGTCAAATCGGTAGTAGACGTCAAAAATGATTGAACAAATGAAAATTGTATAACTATTTGTTAAATTCTCCACTATCATCGTTACTGACAATACTGTATAAAGATTACAGGATTATTTTGACAATATCTGATGTTCAGTGATGAATGCTACTGTTTCGTTTATTCAGAATAGAACGGATGTTAATGATTTGAGCACACCAACAACAATCAAACAAATTGAAACAACTTCGGGGATAATCAAATTTCAGGTTAGTGAAAACTCGAAGGAAACCACCGAAGATACTGATCAATACTCGGTAATTATTTGATATTTAGCAATAAATGCTAATGATTTGTTTTTCTTCAGAATATGATTACACAAACAACCAAACAGAATAACCAGGACGAATCATTTCAATATTTATATATTGTGACACCTCTGATCATCTCCTTCTTTGTTGTGTGCATCGGTTGTGCTATTTGGAGATGGTTGTATAAGAAGAAGAAGTGCAGTTCATAATTCTTAGAAACGTCAAATATCTTGTTCTTATTATTCTGACGAATTTGATTCCACCCCGTATTTCATTAGAAAACTTTAGATTTAATTATTCATTCCAGTAATTTGGACAATCTCTTTATGGATTCATCTATCATTCATAGCTGATTGACGTAATAACTGATTTAATATTGCTGATAAGATACTAAACACAGTTTTTCACATTTGCACAATTGTTTTCACTCCATAAATACTAATTTGTTTTATGAGTGTTTTACAAAATTCTACTTGTAACTTAGTAATATTGAGTATACGTGATTTTGTGATAATTGAAATCACTATTGAGTTGGTTGCGTATGTTCACTTTGTTGAAGTCTTCTAACTGAGTAATATCACTTGGAATCATCGACAGTCATTGGGTTGAGCCTACCTGTCAGAAAACCCTACCACTAAATAATTAAGCGCTTCCATCAATCCTTAGCCGATCTTTCACCGTTCAATAAATAGTGGATGATAAACCATTGTTAACTTGTGTAATGTAGGCTGATTATGATTCCTTCCATGATTTAATTGTTTGCATGTGCAGTATACGGGTAATTGTTTCATTCAATGCTTAGTCTATAGAAAGGACAAAAGTTGAGTTGGCTTTACCATCTTCACTCAACAATCCAATGCTTTGATTAATTAGTTAGTGGCTGAAATTGTTAATTGCTGTGAAAGGATAACACGCAATCCTGCAAACTTGATCAGATAGTCAAATTTGGACATCCAGGGTAAGAGCAGTAGTCTGGTGGGTGAAATAGATATATTTCACCTAATAACTACTTTGCGTCTGTAATCATTCAAACCCCTGAAATAATACAAAACTCATACGTCTAACGAATTATCTACACCAGATAAATACATAATCACTGGTTTGCACCGCGAACTTTGAAAGTGGTAACTTTTTTTCACGTGGTTTAGGAATTCTTCGACTTGCTCTTTTGTAGGGTGTATTATACTGTGATTATCATCTTATCCTGTACATCGGGTACATATTACTGTGAAAAATAAGGAAAAAACTTATTTTTATTCGACAGACAATTATTAGTTCGTATTGTACCTATTGCGGACTTAAATCATTAATAGATCTGCAATTTATTATATACTCATAGTCTCTAATCCTAGTATTAACCAGTTTAATACTTAATAACAACTAATACTCAGATATTATATTTAATTTAACGAGCACTGTGCTCACTTATTTTCATATCATGTCCAATAACTCCATTAAAAGACGATTTTCACCAACTTCTAAGCCAAATAAAAGGTCCAAATCTGTAACCCCTACAACTGACGACTCAGTGCTTGACAATGTCGAACCTTTAACTACTGAAAAATATGTATATTGTACACAAATGTCCCTATCGTCACCAGATTCTCCCTGTCGCAGCCCCTCTATCTCTACGTGCGGTATGCCAACGGTAAGACTGGTGGACATACAAGACACTATACCTACGTGCATCGAAAAGTCAGCACAGTCTACTAGACAATATGTGCTACCAAGGCCTAAGTCTAAAATTTCAAAAACTAAAGAGTCCAATGGTCCTCCTCATACACACCAAAATACTGATAGATATAGTAATGAAATCCGACAGGACCTGAAGCAAACGTTGAAAATTACCGGCCTATAAACATAACTTCAGTGGTATCCAGAGTGATGGAAAAAGTAGTTAAGGCGGCTGTAGTCCAACATCTAATAACTAATAATCTCATCTCGACCTCCCAGCATGGATTTCTTAGGTCCAGATCATGCGATACATGCCTAGTAGACTACCTGAATGATTTAACTATGAAACGAGACAGCGGACTCCTTGTATCAGTTCTATTCCTAGACTTTAAGAAAGCCTTTGATAAGGTCCCACACAAAAGGCTACTCGTCAAACTAAAGTCCTTCGGAATACACAACCCACTGTACTCATGGTTTGCTTCGTTCTTAACAGAACGTAAACAGATGGTAAAGTACAATGACTGTCTCTCGTCCCCTAGGCCAATCACCAGTGGAGTCATCCAGGGAAGCGTATTAGGTCCACTTTTGTTTCTTATGTATATAAACGATATATGTAACACCATAGAATTTGGAAGACCATACTTATATGCTGATGATCTCAAAATAGTATACAGCTATAAGCCTGAGACACTAAGCGAAAGTGTATCCCAGATCCAAAAGGACCTCAATAACTTAACTACATGGAGTGAAAAATGGCAATTACCATTAAACCTCAACAAGTGCGGGATCATGCACTTTGGAAAGCATCCCTATAAACCGCAACTTCACTTAAATGAAAGTAGAGTCCAAACACTCGAATCAGTACGCGATTTAGGAATTTATTACACAGGAAGCCTGAACTTTGAAGAACATGCCTCCTCTATTATTTCTAAATCTAGACGGCTAATTGACTTTATAATGAGAAACTTTTTCACAACAGAGGGTAAACTTACTCTCTACAAAATATGTGTACGACCCTCCCTTGAATACTGCTCTTTTGTCTTCTCTAATATGAATATCACAGACAAGACAAGAGTAGAAGATGTTCAAAGACGTTTCACACGTCAACTACTAGGATGCAACTCGAATCTTGATTACACAGACAGATGTAAGCATCTATCTTTAGAACCCTTATGGCACCATAGGCTAAAAAACAATTTAATATTTCTCTACAAAGCGATATATGGGCTCTCCTTTCTAACCTCCTGCCCGACTATTACCCACGACTCAGCCTATAGACTTAGAAACAACGCATATACACTACTTACCGTAAAACACCAAAAACAAATGCGTTGTAAGTTCTTTACAGTACGGTACAGTTTATTGTGGAACAGGCTGCCAATGCCTATCCGTAATTGTGATACGTTTATCAGATTCAAAAGGCTAATAACCCTATTTCTAGACTCCAAAGAGCTTCAACATTTCCTTGAACTCCCGCCCACCAATGAGGCACTTTATTACGGACCGCCTAGTATCTAAAAAGAACAAAATTATAACAAGTCCGACTGTTACTAATATGAATATAACCAAATCACTGAATATATATGGCTTATCCTTTCCTATTATTAATTGTTTATTAATCATGACTTCATGCTCCTAACCCTAGCTTTCAGTTCCCAAATCTCTACAGGTTAAATGTACATTATTCTTCCTAAAAGTCATGCCTTTTTTTTATTCCACTGCAAGTAGACAGATAGCTCAATCTTATGAATGCTGATCAACAAGTACGGAGCTAACACAAAAATTACTCATAAAAAGGTCTTGTGTGACCGACCTCAGGCAGTTGTCCCTTGGGCACTGCGGTCACGCTCTCAGGTCACTAAGACCACCTGTAATCCAATTTCCTTTTCAGGTACCTCTAGAAGAACCCTTCCTTGATGTGGGCAACCGGGAAGTGATAACCGCCCTCATACCTCTAACAGCACTCAAGACCACTGTATTCATAATCAACCTCCCTCTTCAATTCAATTCTATTCAATTCGGCGTTTTCTTTATCTATAAGAAACATAAACACATAAATATTCAAAAATGACCATCTTTCATTTACTCACCATGACAATCACTATCAATCGTATTATTGTTATAAGCTGTCATTTATACTAATCAACTATGAAAAAAAGTGTTGTCTAATCAACTTGGTTCGAATATCAAATCATTGGTAAGACATTTTCATCAGTAATATATTTTGTTTCAACTAAAATCTGTTTTTTGTTTTGTTTTACGATATAATTGATTTACTCAATGAATTTTCACAGTCTATCTCGGTTATTATTTCATTTGATTGAAAAGTAAGCAAATATATTGTACTACTTTGAGGATATGAACTAGAGTATGTTTATTTATATCAGTAACCAATCAGAAAATTCAAAGAGTATACAGTTTATTTGATTATAACTTAAGTTTAAGAAGGTGTTGTTGGAAAATTTCAAGTTTATTTCTCATTTCTTATATCTTTTCACTTGTCATTGAGATAATATCAATTTCAATGTGTTATATTGTGTATACTTGAGGACTTATTTCCTGATATTGATCTACTAGTCGATTGGTTGATATGAGAAAATGAAGAAGATTTAGTTTATCCATCGTAAAATAATGCAATATAATTTATCATAAAATATGAAATAATAAATGATAATTAGTATCAGGTCCTGGGTTCGAGTCCCGCGGCGGGTGAGATCGCAGATGCGCATTGTTGAGAATTCGCATAATAGTAGGACGAAGCGGGTCGTCCAGTGCTTCCAGGCTAGTTTCGATTGACTCATGATGTCAAATGTTGAAATTTCACATAAATTTGAACGAATAATTTTTTTTCTGTTTCTTTCAACAATCTCACCAACATGCTTTTCAGATATAAACTGTAATTATTGTTATTTTGCTAAAGCCAAAAACAAAACATAAATTATGTAATTCGACAATGTTAGTGAATGAAAATAATAAAAAAATTTGAAGTTGTTATGACATGATGTTGGGATATTCAGAAACATATCCCTAAAAAAATTATCCTGTTAAGGTTAATGCGATCCTTGAACGTGAAACGGTGCCATTTTCCTATTGATCAATATTCACAGTAGTCGTAAACTGTATACATATACAAATGTATAAATATGTAAATTATCACTCTTTTTCTCCTGATCCCATAAACAATTTTCATCTACGGTTCGTGTTCTGATATATTGGAAATAGGGGAAGAGTATTGGTGTCTTAATGAGATATCTGAAGTTGGTCAGTCGGTAGAAATAAGAGTAGTCACGTCGCGGTCTACAATACATGAATACTTTAAAATTATATCATTTTTTTGTAAATTAGATAATAGTCATTAGGATTCATTGTAACGTGTCAAGTTGTAATTAGTATGATAATAATAAAATAAATCGTGTAAATGAAATGAATCATATGAACATTTCATATTGTATTGAAGATAATGATAATAATAGTAGTAGTAGTAATGTTGTGTGGATATAATATGTAATAAAACGTATATCAATATAATTATAATAAGATATTCATGTGAATCGGTAATGATGAATGTGTAAATTAAAGAAGATATTAACACATTAGAAATTGAAAGAAGGAATAAGAGGTATATAATATCCAATTTAGGCATCTGGTGATCCAGTAGTCATGGAACAAGGTAAATACTATAGGAAGTAATTTCCTATAGGTTTAATTCTAAACTATTCTCTAGACTGTCGAGCACAGAGTCTTAGCTTAGTCAAAATCAAAACAAGTAAGCTATTTGACTAGATACACTTTATCTGTTTCTTAAACATAAATTAGCACTGTGACTATATACAGTCTATTGTACAGGGAATAAGAGACATAAGTAACATATCGAACAGTAACTGGAGGATAAGGAAAATGAGTCAACAAAACGAACATTATTTCATAATGAACATAAAATTGTGATTGATGAATAAATAAGGCATAGTCACATAATGTCGAAGAAAGTGAATGTAGTGGTGAGTGTTTCATATTATAATTGCTGGGTTCGTTTATTGATCACACTTTACAAGCACAAAAGCTGAATATACCTCTTTTGAATACAACATCTAGGTTTTCTGGTGTTAATTATCCAGATGACTTCAGCTAAGTCGGGGAGTCTTAATCTAGCTCTTTTGGGTAGATTGCTTGAGACTTGATATAAAAAACAGATAAAATTTTATCTATTTTAACGTGTTGTTCACTATCTATCAATTGAAAAATAATAGTACGGTTATTAGAGTTCTTGTCTCCTTTTCCTAAGCATGAAGGTATATGTTAATGAGCACGCAAGGATAAAGCCCTCTGAGTACGGTCTATGTGATTAGCTCCACAAAAGAAATTGAATTGGTATACTCTCATGTAAGAGTTATATCCAAAAATAATTCTTACTTTCCGGTGGATGATTTTATAGTACATGTGTACTATATGTAGACAGTTTTACAGCGCATAATGATACATGCACAAAAGATACATTTAAAACTGAATGACATTCAATATTTTGTTCAACCTTTAGATACATTAACACTACTCACAAATGAAAAACGGTTTTAAGTACAGAAACCACATGTTTACATCATGATCCTAGTGGCATTAGCAACTAAACTCGAAAATGATATTTGAAAGTTCTTATAGAATCCGTGATCTTTGATAATGAAGCATTTCAGAATGATTGTGTGATATTGTTTACTCGCTGAAGTTCAAAATTCCTTCCCTATATCCCCATAGTAGCCTATTTTCATTATGCTTATAAAACGTAGATTCTATACGTTATTGCGTCATGGTGGCAAATTGTTAACAAGTGCGGAATCGTGACGAACAATCAATCAAGTGTTGTTGGTCTTTCAATGTCTATTTAACTGATATCAATTGGTAATGGAAATTAGTCTCAAATTAACTTTCTATTGAATGATGAGTTATTTGATTGATAAGTGAGAAGAATAAAACAACTCGGAAAGAACGCATTCGTAAATCGTAGTTACCTGTAGGCTGATTTGCTTAATTACATACATTGAAGACCGAAAATGTGAATAGAATTTCGCCAAGTACTACATGTGCTAGACTTTTACTTTTGTCTTGTTAAGTTAAAATCCCACAGTCATCATCCAAAAGCTTCTTTCACCAGTAGTGGCCATGTTAGTATCCATCAAGAGAAATGGTTTTCAG